TCTTTCCCTTCTACATGTTGAAGTGCTTTCTCTTTAAACTGTTTCCCCCTTATGTTAAAAACCAAAAACGGATATATGTGGGGTCTGAAAATCTTTTCCTTACTAACCTATTTCAATGTATGGGATATTTAATACAGTAGGATGGCAATAGGTAAAATCCTCCAAAGGGAAAAACGAAAGGTACAAAATAAATAGTAAATACACCCCAAAGAGAGAAAAAGTCAGCTAGAGACAGGAATATTATTTTGTGAAATTGATAATTCTCTATTGGGAATTTAGTAGTACTCTACATCACCATGGTGAAGAATCTGAATATTTTACTCCCACTAATGATGAATATAATGTCTTCTTCAAAACGGGATATTGATGTGCATGTGAATCTATCTGGTAGGTCACCACGTATCATAAGAGAAAATGAAGAAACCAGAAATCAATGCTTTTCTTTCTGCTGAGTAGTTTTCCAACCTTCTCTTTAGGGAACACTTCGTGATTTCTTAGTAACCCAAAGAGGACCATCCACCCATACGTAACAATGCAAAAGCTGCCCTTTGTTTTTACCACAAAACCATTCTGGAAAAATATTTCTCTCAAAGCACCTATCACAATGTTATCTCATAAAAGTTTTTTTTTTTTTTTAAAGGCCATATATCTTTGTGCTTTTTAAGAGCTCTTTTTGTAAAGTCCTATGTCATCACCTATTTATTTTATAATGTCACAAAGAGGCATTAGTGAGGCTAGGCAGTTACTGAACTGAATCACCAAAAGTTATTTGACTATTTAGGGCAGTCTGGCCTATGTTTTTTGTTAGTAACCCATAATCTACTGATGAAATAGGCCAACTTTCCTACCTCTTTATATTTATAAAGAGCTTACTAAAAACTTTACTAATACATCTCATTATTTTTCTTAACTCTCTGGGCCAAGGTATGTTTAATCTTTGACCCAGAGATTTTATGTGGCTAGAAAAGTGGAACAAAAAACAAAACAATTTCAAATAAGTGGGAGGCAGAGCTATCTCTTAGAGATGCCCAAAAGTTTACATTTTTACCATGAGTGCCTGGGAACTAAAATAATCAGTTTACCCAGCACATTCCCTTCAAGAA